TAGCTGTGGTGTATGCCACACCACCGCTCCCTTGGGAGAGTGACGGGTCACTCTCATGCGACCCCGTTACAGTAGCAGTCTCAGTTCGCGCACAAGGTGACGAAATAAGTCGTTTTGCCCGTTACAAGGCTATACAAGCCAGCTTCTGCGCAGCAAATTTCCGTCTCAAGCACCTACTCATGCTTGAAATGCATACTACAAAGCATGACGAAGACGGCGAGCTAACGAACCACCACCTCTCCTTCCTGCTGTCTAAATTCTGTTTGTCTTCATGGGACAGCTGTAGCGGCTACCGACCCAGGGTCATATTCATCGCAAGATTGACCGCCATTTCCTGATAGAAAGTGCAGCGGGGCTGCCGTAGCTCTTTGCTTAAAGAAAGTAAGCTAAGTTCACCGACCTTACGCTCTATACTACGAGTGTAGCGGATCGCAATCCGCTACCTCCAAGAGTACCCAAAACTTTAACCAAGGTAAATACACGCTTCCGCTCAAAAATCAATGAGTATTTACCTGTTTTATTTTTGGCAAAGCATTATGTATCTAAATTTAAAGGGTTTCCCAATCATATAGTAAAATATGCATAACTACTGGCAGTTAGTGGATTCTTGTTACAGTGATTCCGCAATTGTGTGATAACACCGTCTGGTGTAATCTACACCTTTGTATGGTCACACAAGATGGTGTGACCCACCCTTTCATACCAGGGTACGTGTAACTCCGTTACACTCTCCCCGATAAAATTTATGAATACACACAATTCACATTTAGCTGTCGCCTCGTACGAGACTCGCATGTCTAAGACACCAATACGTCCACAGGACCTTCTTCATGCATTTTCTGCTCAATGATCTCTGTGTCTATGACACGAAATACTCCCAGCCTCGCTGGTGCCGAGAGCGCCTGCGGGCAGAGCCCTTCTTCGTCTCCCGCACGCACTGCGACTCCAGAAAGTACGTCTGCGGCTTCACGGGAAGCACATCCCAAGCCCTCGGCAACCGGGCGCCGCACACCGCACTCACCACGGGCGTCGAATTTTCTCGTCGAGGATTCATAGAAAGTCGACTACGAGTCTAATACTCCTTTTTCATGATGGAAAAAGAAGAGGAGGGCGAGGTGCGCCTACGGCGCGTCGTGAGCCTGCTCGAACTTCGCAAACACCGTGTCCGATGTCCGACCTTTCGGCTTCCAAGGGAGGTGGTATCATTACCAATCGCCTTGACGAGGCACAAGCGCAGCGATTGGAGGCTGCCTATAGGGCGGCTCTCATGCGCTCATATCCAAGTCCGGTCCTTGTCCCTCGCTTGGAATACGGCTGCTGCTCGACGGATCTCGCTAATGAAGTGAAATATGCGATCACTCGATCATGAGGCTTTTGCGTAGTCCCCTCCCGACCACTACACATGCCGAGCTTGATTAACGGGAAACTCTACGAACTCGCTTCGTGGTACCACAAGAAATCCCAGTGGATACGTACCGTGCTCGACTTCGCGCTCAATGAGGAGGCGCTTCTTTATCTACAATGTGGCGATATCTGTGTTGCTCGCCCCTAGCAAAACCGCTGCAGAAGATGATAAGCTCTTTGAGCGATAGGTGCAGCAATACCGGAACCTTCTTCGCTGTCTAACTGACAGCGGAACCACAAGGAGGTGGACGTGTGCATAGAACGCTATCTTCGGTTTGAGTTAGCCAGACTCAGGATGCAATGCCACCTTCCTTCGCATTGTCACTCTGCGACGTATGGATTATCCATCACGCTTCCACTCTCTGTTGTCTCTCACATGAGTGATACTCTGACCACAGCAGCCCAGAGCCATAACTTGAGCTCAGCTCATGGCCCTTCGGCTTTCGATGCACAAGACGACGCGAAGCGTCATAATCCTTCTGATCATAAGCGTCTATAACGCCTGGGCAGTCTAGCCAAAGTGGCACCTCAAACTCCCACGAGTTCTCGGTGTTTGGGTATCCCCGCCAATTCACAAGATACTGGATTAAACCCCGTCGACGACGTCGATCCACAAGCCGTTCCACGTGGTGGTGAACGCGACCATTCTCATCGAGAAGAGTCGGTTGCGGACGATGACGACTTGGTTGATCGCCGTCTGGTGACTCGCGATGCTCTTCGAGCGTGGGAGAAAAGGTCCATCTCTCCAAGGTCGTCTACCCCAGTGCGGAAGTCCTCGAGAGTATCAAGCACTTTGAGCACCGATTGCCTCGCGTTGAAGATTGTCGTGCTCTCTTAGAGTGGCTCCTTGTCGCCGAGCAGGCGAATACGTCACTCTGTGCGACGATGGAGCATCTTGCGCCGTTGGAAACGGAAGTTGTTCACTCCGCGCTCAGAACCTGTTGCTTTGTTCAGCTTTTGCGCTTTTGGCCGCTGCCTCGGCGCCAACGCTTCCGCGTTCGCTTGCACCGTTCCCGGTACGGCTTAAGCAAGCCCACCTAAAATACCGGGTGGTTGCGCATCCTTCTCGCAAGGTTCAGCGTATACGCTAGGTCTCGCTTGGCCACGGCTTGAAAAGGTCCAATAAACCGTGGACGGAGCTTCGTCATAAAGTCAGAAATTGCAAGTGTAGGGAGGTTTCTGGCGTTTAGTAAAACCAGGTCTTTGACCTCAATGTTTTCAGCATTTCATTTCCTTTTCCGTCTGCATATTCTTTTTGCATGCCTTGGCTTTCAGCGATCAAATCGCGAACGTGTTGTAAGATACTCAGTCAAGTAGACATGAAGTCTCCGACTTCCTTTCGCACGGAAGGGGGGTTACATCAGCTAGCCGTTACGCAATAGCCCCCCACCAAACCCTAAGAAATGAGATGGCGGTGTCAGCGGGACGCGAGGATGAACAAGCCCGTTCACTCTGAATGGTGTGTAGCCAGTAGACGATTGCACTGCATTGTTCAGAGCAAAGTCTACGAGTGGCAGCATTGTGCCCCAGCGCCTCGATGTCTTAGTGCAGACGCTGCGAAGGACATCTTCAGCGATGCGATCACGCGCTCAGTTTGACCATCGGTATGCGGATGGTCCGCTGTTGACATAGTCAACTTGGTGCGCAGCACCCTAAAAATTGTAGACCAAAACTTCCCAGTGAAGCGTGGGTATCTGTCAGAGACAATTGACTCCGGGGGTCATGTCGTCGAAAGACACGATCCGCAAACAGCATCGCTATACGGACACCGTCGATATGTGTCCGACACTGCCGCAAGATGAGCTATCTTGCTCAAAAGGTCGACAAAGAAGACGACATCCGTGTTGCGCACCGAGTTCTCCAGCCGGCCAAACACAGAGTCCATACTCATTGACTGCCAACACCCGGAGAGTACCGCAAAACGGCCAGCGGCGCTGCTGCAATCGGAGAGGGTTCCACCCAATGACACGTCTCACACCTGCGTACATACGTGCTCGCCCATTTGTAAAGCTTGGGCCACCATTAGTGGCAACGCATAGAGCTGTACGTCTTCTCACGACCGAGATGACCACTAAGTGGGGTGTCGTAGACCTCAAAATGGATACGGTACTACAAATATTCATCTTGAGAAACTATACGTCGTGGAGTATCCGTCGGGTCGGTGCCAATATACAGCAACCCGTTATCCAACGAATATCGGTGCATCCGTGCGCGCAATCGCGACGACAACATCTTGCCCGAGTTATAAAACCCCTTGCTTCCTAGAGCCCATAGCAGCGCTACACACATATCATCACCCGCGTACGCTGCGCGGATCAAATCCGTCTTTGACGACGTCACCGTCGTGTCATGAGTAAGCTCATCATCTGGTCTACAGGACAACGCGTCAG